TGTTAGCCTTGCGACCAACCCCCAACCTGGAGGACCAGGGTACCTGTCTTAGTCTGACCTCTCCCCCTCGACCAATCTGGCTAGGGAGGCCCTACCAGTAGCTCTTGGGGTCACTGAGGTACTCAAGCCCCACCACCACGACAAGGTGCAGGTACCATTAAGTGGGGGAAATTATTTTTATAATAGAAATAAATTAACTCAACTCAACGATAAATATAGAAAAATGTACTGTAGTATCTTCAGAATAATCTATCCATTTGGTCCATCTTCAATCTCATCATTTCTTGAGGTTTGTGTGCCCGAGTATTGACCCAGAAGCCTGACCTTCAGAAGAGTGCTCTGACTCTTCCCAGCAGCCATCTCCAGAACTTCTCTCTGATCCCCTTCTTCAGGCATTGCATAATCTTCTTACTCTTGCAGCCTCTCGGCCTGTTGTCGTGAAGCTTTGTCTCCTTCTCCACAGTGAATTCCCCTTTCAAAGCCCATGATTTTTCCTTATACTTCCCTTCCAAGGGTTGACGATTTGTCTGGAACTGCTCTCTGATGTGTCGTACAATAAGCCAGATCACGTAAAGGTTGAGACACACATCGAGCACAAAGCAGGCTATGTCAGTTCCGGCATAGCTCTTGGGTTGGAGAGCCGTGCATTCTTGCCCAAAAATCTGTGCTATCCGGCACAGCATTTTCTCCTTGAAGGTTATAGTTGGTGCCGGGCTTCGAAATAACCGAGTTAGTGAACATGGCAGATAGTCGGTGTACGGATGCATTATCCTGTGATTTTCTAAAACGTTTCTGCCGGCACAAACGTTTTAGAAAATCACAGGATAATGCATCCGTACACCGACTATCTGCCATGTTCACTAACTCGGTTATTTCGAAGCCCGGCACCAACTATAACCTTCAAGGAGAAAATGCTGTGCCGGATAGCACAGATTTTTGGGCAAGAATGCACGGCTCTCCAACCCAAGAGCTATGCCGGAACTGACATAGCCTGCTTTGTGCTCGATGTGTGTCTCAACCTTTACGTGATCTGGCTTATTGTACGACATCAGAGAGCAGTTCCAGACAAATCGTCAACCTTGGAAGGGAAGTATAAGGAAAAATCATGGGCTTTGAAAGGGGAATTCACTGTGGAGAAGGAGACAAAGCTTCACGACAACAGGCCGAGAGGCTGCAAGAGTAAGAAGATTATGCAATGCCTGAAGAAGGGGATCAGAGAGAAGTTCTGGAGATGGCTGCTGGGAAGAGTCAGAGCACTCTTCTGAAGGTCAGGCTTCTGGGTCAATACTCGGGCACACAAACCTCAAGAAATGATGAGATTGAAGATGGACCAAATGGATAGATTATTCTGAAGATACTACAGTACATTTTTCTATATTTATCGTTGAGTTGAGTTAATTTATTTCTATTATAAAAATAATTTCGTCTACAACACACTTCTCCTACAAGCGATTCACACTTCAGCTCTCTTCGCACACTCCTTCCACACTCTCACCTACTACACTGCTCTCTAAGCAACCAACCAACCAACCAAAAAGCTAACTGAGGGCGGAGGCCTGCGCAAGCGCAAGCATCGTCCCTACCTAGGTGAAACCATTCCTGCGCACAAGGCGCATTGCTGGAAATGGTAAACAGTCTTAATATAAGAAACGGAAATTTTGCTATCGCTAACAGGGTTACGTCGTGGCGGGAGCCTCGACCATTCAAACTGGGATCCGTTGCTGCTGATGGGAGGTCATCCCGTCAGGCAAGTTGTCCAAAGGAATTTGGTTGGTTGGATCTCCGGGGTTTGAACCCAGAGAGGGAGGGGCCGTTTCGGCTGAAGGCCTCTGCGGCATGGGGGGAAGATCACTTCAGCTGATGGCCTCCGTGATC